TGTGAAGCCTGTGCAATTGATTAGGACATCAGGAAAGATGGAAAGTGATCCTAGATTAAAAAAAAAAACTTTTATGGATGCCTATATTGGTCAGACCAAAAATCCTCTTACTCCATATCAGTCTTCATAAGTAGCCAGTAGCATTTTAAAGAAATATGTTCTTCAGGGTCTTTTTAAGGTGGAGGTGATACATCTGTGACTATCATAGTTGTACTCTTGATTTTTTTCAGTCAAGGAAAGTTGGTTCTTCTTTCACAAGATTGTCTAGTTCAAAAATTAATTGTAAAGTATACACTTCTTCTACTACTCAGTTTGAAGTTCTAGAAACTCCTATTTGGAAAAGCTGAACAATGCAGGCGCTTGTTGTTCTTTCTTCCCTCATTCTTTTACTTGATGTATCACAGAAATCAAAATGAAAATAGAATAATAATATGTATATTTAAAATTTTCCCCTTATAATCAGCAAACCAAAGGATAAGAAGACATTTGAAGAAGTTCACAGCTGTTCCAGTAACAGTCTCTGGTTTGTTCTTGCAGAATGTGAGGATATAATCAGAAAGGGAGGAGAGACTTCTGAAATGTACCTCATCCAACCAGATCCTTTCGTCAAACCATACAGAGTATACTGCGACATGGAAACAGATAATGGAGGTCAGTGTGAAATGACTGTGTTGTTAAAATATTAATTAATATGCATGATACCAACAATAATTAGTAATTTGCATTTTATGCAAACAAGTATGGAGTGATACCTTTTGTAATTACTTGAGAATTGAATCTGACTCATTCAGGAAAGTCCTGTTGGTCATCTGCTGATGCACAGTAGTATACTTCTATAAGGAAACTGGAAATAAATTGCATAGGTATTTTAGTATAGCCAGATTGGAAAATGTATAGGTGGGCAGACAAGGAGAGCCTGGCTCGTGTCTTACCCTGCTACTATGTGCTAGACAAAAGATCAGGGCATTCCTTCAGGTTCTGCTTTTTTTCACCTTTCTTTATGAAGCCAGGTACTACTTAAGTGTGAGCAAAAATGGCAAAGCTGAGCTCATAAGCGGTGAATGACCTGCTGCAAGGAAGCCATATGCTCTTCTTGTCCTGAGATGAAGTTACAAAGGCTGTATCTTAATGCTTGATGCTCCTTTTGTACTAGCAGTTTAATCTAAATACTGTTGCTCCTGCAGGCTGGACTTTGATTCAGAACCGCCAGGATGGCAGCGTTAATTTCGGGAGAAGATGGGATCAGTATAAAAACGGGTTTGGAAATGTTGCAAAGAGTGGAGGGAAGAACTACTGTGATACACCAGGTAAAACACACAGCATGAAACTCAAAGAACTCTTCTTGCTGAAACTGTTTTATCCTATTTTTTGAAGCTCTTTGATTTTCTTTAAATTAACTAATCCCCTTCAGCAGACCTATAGGAAAATAATAAAGTTGCCATGAAATATATTGGGAAGTCTATTTCACAGAGCTCTCACTTGTTGCTTCTCAGGTGAATATTGGCTTGGAAATGACAAGATCAGCCAACTGACCAAAATAGGGCCCACTGAAGTTTTAATTGAAATGGAGGACTGGAATGGTGATAAGGTATCAGCTCATTATGGAGGTTTCACCATACAGAATGAAGGAAACAAGTATCAGCTTTCAGTCAGTAACTACAAAGGCAATGCAGGCAATGCGCTGATGGACGGAGCTTCGCAAGTGCACGGAGAAAACAGGACGATGACAATTCACAATGGCATGTTCTTCAGTACTTATGACAGAGACAATGATGGATGGTATGTACTCACACTAAACATTTAAAATAAAAATAGAGCTTAAAATAGAGCTGAATATAAAATATTTCTCCAATTTTATGTTAGTTTTCGTAATATCTCAAAATATGTTTTATCCCTGTAAGCTACCAGCCAAATGTCCACGCAATTCTCTTGGTGTAGCCAAGGACAGGTAAAACTATGTATTAGGTTAGTGACATTCCACAGCCAAGTAAGAAGCGAGCATGCTGAATTTTATTGATTCCATGAATTATTTACCATGGACAAATCAGCAAATCTGGATGCGATGTGTTCATTATCGGAGACTGGTGGTAGCAGTGCTGAGGACACTGTCTTGCTAAGTAGGAATATTGATGCTCACTCCAGTAATGTATAATGGTTCCTGAAGAAAGAGACAGGTAGCATGTCCATTTAAGAAACAAAGTTCTGCCTACTCAGAAGACAGGAGCTGAGTTGTAAAATACACAATTGAGCACTGAATCTCTAAATTGTGCTTAATACCCGATTACATAGTCATGAATAAAGGAATTGTTTATATTAGACATACATTTCTCACTGTTTTCCATCTTTAAATTTCATTGATATTGTAATTATCATTATGAACTGCAAGTAATTGTAGTTATCAATCAATAAACTAAAATGACATTCCCAAAGAGATGCAGCTAGAATTCGATTATTTTTTCTTAGCTGCTTCACCTTCCAAGTGCACTGTGTAGCACACACTTGTGATGGTCAGTCTTTTACAGAGAGTTCAGAGAGGACTTTAAATGTTTATTATGGTTTGAAAATTTCAGTACACGGGCAGGTATATGTACTCTGTAGATCTGTTTGCTTTTATGATATCTGTCACTCTCAACACATCTTTTTTTCCCCTCATCAGGTTAACTGCAGACCCAAGAAAACAGTGCTCCAAAGAAGATGGTGGTGGATGGTGGTACAACCGCTGCCACTCAGCCAACCCCAATGGCAGATACTACTGGGGAGGGACCTACAGCTGGGATATGGCAAAGCACGGTACAGATGATGGTGTTGTATGGATGAACTGGAAAGGGTCATGGTATTCCATGAAGAAGATGAGCATGAAAATCCGGCCATACTTTCCACAATAACCATTATCAAAATGTGCGGAATCAGGGATTTTCTTTTAGTATTTGCACGTGGTTATCTTTTGAGCATGATATTCAGGCTTGTCTTTACACATGAAAAGCAAATATGTATGTACAAGCATATTGTGACCCGAAGTGAAAAGCTATGTCAAATGTAAATCAAAAACTGACTGATGAAAATAACTTACAAGTGTATTTTTCCATTTTTCATTTGTTCATAAGACAGAATTAACTAGTATCAAATAACACTGAAAACCCCAAACCCTACTTGTTTCACTCTATTACCGAGGTTTTCTTTACTACTTTTAAAGAGGGAGAACATTTTTTTAAAATGTTTTCTAAAAATTAAAGTCTTAAAACTAAAATATTGTTCACATGATTCCTAATTATTTATGCATAATCTGGGGGGAAGGAAACAGATTGCCCTAAATAAGAGAAAGTTATTTTCTTTTATATTATATAAGTAACAATAACTACCTGCGTAACCAGTTGAGAAGGAAGATAGTGAAAAGATAGTATTGAACAACTGGGTAGGTCACCACTCAGCTCATATGCTGTATGCTGGATAAAATATGCCCTTTGCTGGGACCTGGTTCACCCACTGTGCCTCTTAATATCCCTCCGACCATCCCATATCCTTTTAATGTAGAATAAAATACAGTCTGTCTTTCACACAGTCACTCTCATGGGACTAGAGTAATTAATGACTCCAATCACAGGGTAGGTGAAGGTTGGGTATTTCAATAGAGCTAGTGGTCTGGGCACCCTGGGGCACACAAAGATGAGACTTCCCAGCCCTGGTAGACAGGATCAACATCTCTCAAAGGGGACAGCCTTCCTTCACAGAGGAAGGGACCCAGATAACTAGGGGTGTAGGGGTCCCATCCGAAACCTCTAGTGCTTACTTAATCTGTGAAGCCCAGGAGGACAAGAAGAAGACATAATGGCAGCATCTCACTACACAAGCACAAATGTTCTGCATCCCTGCAGGCAGGCTTCCACTGAGACTAAGGAACAAAAACACAAGGTGTAAAGGAGAAACCTGTTCTCCAAAAGCAAAGACAGTTCTTCCCACATGACTGTAAAGAGGTCTTTGCTCTTCAGCAAACTTTCCAAAAAGATTAGTCAGTGACTGTGTTTGAGAAGCACTGAAAAAAGGCTAAAAGCGAGCTGCTTTGCCAGTATTTGATGATACTGATAAATGGTATGCGACATGCCAGTGAGATTGGAGACCAGGAAGTTTCTTCACGCTTGTTCCTCAATATAAGCACAGAAATATTAAACAGTGTAAATACCGGTGTAACTTTATATCATAAGGTATAAAGGTAAATACAACATGTTCTTGTATAACTGTGTATCAAATATAGCTGGTTTTCAATGCAGCCAGCTTTTTTTTCTAAAAGATCCTTACCACACACTGTCAGCAACCTGATTTAAAACCCTTATCTGTGTAAAAATCTTTGCTTGGCACATGTACTGAAAAAGATTCAAGTGCTCCTCATCTTACTTGTGCTGGTTATAGTCATAACCTTTTAGTGGTTGCTAGAAAATAACAGCCTGTTTTGGAAGTTGTATTTTGATGAGTTATCATGGATCTGTCTTATTTTGAAGCCACAGTATGCGTGGTAGGCGATCTAAAATTCATCAATGGGATGGAGGGTCTATATATTTATAAAATCAAAGCTTAGGAGATCCTTAAAATCAGTCCCAAAATGTTGTTTATCAAAGTGTTCTCCATGTTAGGTATGTGGCAAGAGTGAGAACCCAAACCACTCTCGGTTCTGCCTGAGAACGGACTCCCACTGCTGTTGTGCCCCCCTTGAAATAGAAATAAGAGGAGATGGCCTAGAATAGTGAATGTTGAACTTGGTCACACTTTCACAGTTCATGCTAGCGGAAGCAGGATCTTGTTGTGAACATACTTATAAATTCTTTCACTTCTTTAGCACTCCTAAACAAAGTAAATAGTTCAAATTATAAATATTTTTATCTCAAGGTGTGAGCTGCCAAAGACGTCGACAAAGACATGAAAAAAGTTCATATTAAAAGGATTTTTAAATCAGTTTTTTTAAAACCTTGAAAAGGTTTTTCAGCTAAAAATAAATCAAAGAATTCTTCTGTTAATAATTAATCATTGTTTATTTTTTAAGTCACAGATACACGCAGTTGCCTTCAAATTTGCAGAGTAAAGGTACATCATGCATATATATATATATATATATATATATATATATATATAAAATATTTTCAACTTGTAAGACACATTAAAAACCTGTCTTTCTACAGGGTTTCAATGGGCCTGATTTTCATTTTAACAGTTTTGAGGGAATAGTCAGAGGCTTTAAATGGCAGCCAGACCACGCCATTTTCGATCTCGTATGGAACGTTGTACCTGGGGTCATAGTGGCCTCCCAGGTAGTAAATGCCATTGAGGTTGGCTGCCTGGCAGCTGTTGTACCACCATCCGCCCCCATACATCTCCGCACAGTTCTCCTCCCAGTGGTCCTGGTCCCGGTCAAAGGTGCTGAACTTCATCTGGGCATGGGACGTGTATTCGGTGCCCTCTTCCATCCAGCCAGCGATCAGTGCGTCCCCAGCGGTCCCCTCGTAGGAAGACACAGTAAGGGCATACCCTTCTGCTTCAGACCCTACCTGTACAATATACTCTGCATACACAGCATTTCCATCCCAGTCCTCTAACTCTACCCGAAGGAGAGTATCATTTTGAGTCAGCAAGTGCATGTTTTCATTGCCCAGCCAAAACTCTCCTCGCCCTCTGCCATCCACGCTGCCGAAACCTCTCCTGTAGTCTTGCCAGGTCCGGTTAAAATTCACTGATCCATCCATTCTCTGTTGGATCAATAGCCATCCTCCCAAAGTGGTCTCTTGGTCGCAATAAACAGACAAGACCTTATTGGATCCCGCTGGCTTGATTTTGAAAATGCCACTTTTGGCACCAGAAGTGTGTTTCTGGCGGATATCATCACAGTCTAAAAAAAAAAGTTGATCTGGTTTGACAGAAGTTATCAGCAAAATTTAATAAAAGGTTCAGAGGAATCCAAATACCAATAGTTCAGGGGAAAATTGTTAAACATGTTGTGGAGTACACTAGGTATAGTGACAGGCAACATTAAAAAGAATTCAGAAAAGAAAACTTTACACACTTCTTAAACTGTGAATTGTCTATGTAATACCCAAGTATTAATGAAGTATTTTCCCTTCTGTTTCCAAGGTGGCAAAAAACAGACACAGTGATTACATTTTATCATCACACTTTTGTACTATAGTATCTAAAACAAATGTGTCAGTTTGGTTATGGATGGAGTTCAGCTCCACTACCTCAATAACTACCTTTCCCAGTGCTGGCTGTCCTTCGCTTCACTCCTGGTGGTCTGATGCTGCGTGCCTGAAAGTCTGGGGTGTCCTCTGCACTCTGATCATGTTCCACCCCACCTAGCTGCTCAGTTATTTCACGGGTCTTTATTGATTTGGTCTCAAAAGTGGAGCCTCCCTTGTTGAAACTAGAAGAGGTGCTGGTCACTACAGTCTTGGAGTGCCTTGCACTGCCAGATGGGAATCCAGATGGGTGAAGTCCTGCAAAGTCATCTTCCTCCACCTCTCCTAAGTCTGCAAATTTGTCTTTTGCCCCATAAGTCCCTGAATGACTGGTACTGCCTGTGCCAGTTGTGCGCTTACTAGCAGTGGATGCAGAATCAGGGGTAAAAAATGACTCTAGCTCAGGGGATAACCTTTCTAGCTTGTGCATGCCATCTGCACCACTAAAATGGTAGGTGGTCCCTTCCCCTCCAAAATTTCCTGCTCCGTGTAAATAAGAGCAGTCTGAGCCATCAGAAGAAATTGTTTTCTCAACTACTTCTTCTCTAGGGCCATCAGGGCCACTGACAATTTTTTTGGTGGTAGTTTTGGTGCATCTACGAACAGCGGAGGAGGTTTTGTCTTCCAGACTAAGGGTTTCTCTCCCATGAGTAGGAATAACTAATTTGCTGGCATATGGAGGTCCATCCCCCCTTGATTCTGACATGTGATATGGGCTGTCGCCTCGTGAGGGGTTTGTCTCTGTTTCCGGTCTTTCTAATACCACTTGCATCTGCTTGATGTCATTAATTATGTTCAGAGCTTGCATTTCTGGCAGAGGCTTATGCTTAAAATGATCAGGAACATTGGAGTCCTTAAGTGGCCTCATTTTCAGTGTGCTCAGGGTGGTTGTTTCAAGTTCTGGGTTCAAGTTGATGGAGTTGGCTTGAGCAAGCTGCTTCTGGATGTTGTCGTAGCTTTCCTTGTCCACCTGGTAATCAAAACTTCTAGCACAGGTTCCTTTACAAGCTCGTATCTTAATGTCAATGTCCACCTACACAACCAGAGAGAAATAATTTGGTTAGGGAGCTTTCCTGGCTTCCTCAAGCAAGGGTATCCTTTACTGAACAGGGGAAAGATGGGAGCTGCCCTTGTACCTCCCACCTACAGCTGAACTTTTCAGTTTTGAAATGATCCTAGGTTTATTTCCATTGTAAATACAACACATGCAATAGCACAGTGCACAAGTTCCATGGAGTTCCACTGTAGCATGTTCCCAATCTCTGCTCCCTTTATTCTCAGGGTATAGGGGTATCTTCCTGGGTTTGGAAGGAGTGCTGCAGAGCTGAGAATGCTTCCTCTGTGGACCAGGGCAGAAATGGGTTCACCAAGGAGAGAGGAAGACACTGGACTTGTCCCAGAGCCTGTCATGGCCCTCCTGTGAGGCCTGCCATTATGGGGTTACCATTGCTTTCTCAAATGATCCAAATACTGGATATCTGGTCTAGGCATCACAAATAGGCCTTTGAGCAAAACTGTTTTTTGTGCAGGACCTTTCCTTGCATTACCATCAGAAGAACTGGCTGCAATCTAGTCTAGTAATGCGGATTCTAATGCCAGCCCTGGCTGCGAGCAGCAGTGGCAGCATGGGAATGGACAGAGCACGTCCACCTCCTAACTGCTCGGCAACTCCTTACAGGAGGAGAAACGCTTCATACAGAACCAGGTATCAGTAGATAACTGAGAGCAGAAGCAGCAGATGGGACCGGGAGTCCTATGGAGCTAACGCTGGTTCCCACAGAGAAGAAATAGAAAACCAAGATGAACAGAAAGCAAATCATTTGGGCATTTGTCTCAGCAAGTCAGATCCTGTGAGAGCTGCATCATGTTTTCTTCCAGAGAGAGCACTGCTCACCATGTACAGTATATGGGATAGATCCTCTTTCTGTAGTTAAGCCCTGGAAAGAATGGAAACCGCGTAGCAGATACCTACCTCTAAGCGTTTCATCTCCACCACTTGTTCCTGGATGCTGCTCTGCAAAGCTTTAATTCTGTTTACTTGAGTGACAACTCTCTGTTTTAATGTCAAAATTCTCCGTCTCAGCTCTCCTGACACGATTCCATAAGTCTCATCAACCTCTGAAACAGAAATGCCTCACAGTCAGTTATGTACGTGACTTTCTTTCCTAAATGTGTAAATCATATTTTAGGATGTGTAATTAAACACAAAATTTAGAACATATTTCTCATAGCACTGAGCAGAAAATAATTGCATTAGTTTTTACTAACTAGCAGTTAATAGTCTATTATTATGTTCATTCTGGTTCTTGACAATTATGTCCAGTGCAGCACATATTTTCACTGCATATTGCTTATTCACAAAAAAGAATAATTCAGCAGTGGGTAATAAAACTGGGTGCATGAGATACTCACGATTAGCACTGTCCAGGTTTGGTTTTAGTGCATTTACAGTTTCCACAATTATCTGATTAGATTTTTTATAGTTGTTTTGATTATCTGCAAGCAGTTTTTTGATTTTGTCTATTCTGCGACTATAATCCTGGTCCATGTCATCAATCAGTCCTTGCATTCTGCAGCCTGATGGACATTTGGTACCCTAAAATTGGAAGAGGGAAATAATTGTGTTAAAATCCTCACAAGTAAACATTTTGTGTAATGATGAAAAAAAACGCTGATCAGTAAAGCTTATTCTCAAAAACCCGCCATAAGCGTGGGGTGAGGAAAAAGTAAACTTCCAGCTTTGTCTCTCCTCTGTTCCTCATGGGTGAGATTATATATACATATATATTTATTTCATATATACACACACACACTTTCTGAAGGGCTCTGTAAGAAGTCTGTTGTCCAGTTTGAGCAAGGATATTAGAGGCCAACTGTTTTAAGCAAAGTTTTCATCAGAAAAGCTGAATGTTCTTACAGAGTTAGGCTCTTTGCCAAGATGTCATCAAATAAATGTAGCATAGCAATTGACTGAAATGCAAAAGGCAAGAAAGAGAGAAATTAATAGTTTATACATGAAGACATCTAGTCACAGAATCACAGAATACGCTGAGTTGGAAGGGTCCCACATGGATCATCGAGTCCAACTTGTGGCCCTGCACAGGACCACCCCCAGAGTCACACCATGTGTCTGAGAGTATTGTCCAAACACTCCTTGAACTCTTGCTTGGTGCTGTGACCACTTCCCTGGGGAGCCTGTTCCAGTACTGAACCACACTCTGGGTGAAGAATCTTTTTTCTAATATCCAACCTAAACCTGCCCTGACGCAACTTCAGGCTGTTCCCTCAGGTGATGTCACTGGTCACCACAGAGAAGAGATCAGTGTCTGCCTCTCCTCTTCCCCTCATGAGGAACTTGTAGACCACAGTGAGGTCTCCCCTCAGACTCCTCCAGTCAATCACTATGAAACTTTTACTGAGCATCTTGTAATCTGAATTCCTAAAAAGTAACTAGTGAAAGAGCATGTGATTTTTAGCTATTTCTTTTCTTTGTCTCACATCTTTCTTTCTGGTGCCCTTCTCTTACCATTATCAGAATTTTGAAAAGAAATGCTTCTTCTGGTTTTCTAGGATTAGTCTTCTTTAATTTAATCTTTCTTTTCCAGACATACTTTCTCTTCTCATTCTGCACCACTGCAAGCTTCTCCCTCTTCCTTTCTCCTAGTTTTCTCCTTTCATTCTTTCTTTCCCACAGCAGATCTCTCCAGGCTGCCCCAAACTGAAGTATTACCTATCCTTCCTCAGACTTAACACCCGAGGCTGTGTGGCACCTATTGCAATGACCTCTGGCTGAGGTCTGCGAGTGCCCTACGGACATGCCCCACTTCCACCCCAGAGCAAAGAGCTCACCCAGTCATCGTCAGCACAGATGGGCCAGTTCTTATCATACTGGCAGGTGGACTGGGACATGTGCTCCACAATCCTGGGACCACGCACTCCCGCACCCAGCTCTTCAAATGTACTCTCTCCATCTTGTGCCTGCCAGGAGGAAGAAGGGGAAAAGCAAAACCAAGATTACCAAAAAAGCTGCCAAGAGAACAGAAACATAATGCTGATGTCCTCCAACACTGAGTAGCACAGGTGATGTGTGGCAATCACAGCCATCTGCTAAGCACCACACCAAACAGTGCAAGGATCTTATTCTCAACTCAATTTATTGTGAGTTATGATTTTGTTTGTTTTCTCAGAATAAAGCTTGTATCTCTTAAAATTAAAGCAGCTGTGTAGAGAGCTAGTGATGTTCCGGATATATTATGCTAATATCATTCCACATAAATATTTTGTTCTGTGTGTAAATATAAAATTAACTTGAAATTAAATTGAAACTGGATAAGTTAAAGCAAATATTTTAAAAATCCTATGTTCTATTTCTGTTTGTTGCAATACTTTAAAATTCTTATTGTCACTTTACCACCTTCAGTCCACACAAAACTGGCTTAAAGATATATATATGAAGAGGTTTCCCATTAGTGTTCCTGATTTTAATCATAGTTGCTAACTGCAAGCTTATAACACTGTTTTGCCTGGCAAAAGAGCAAGAAACTAATAATTAAAATAATAATGTTGGTCATGAATGGATTTCACTGTGCTTATAGAAAGGAGAGAAATAAATATACTGAGACTTTCTTCAAGTCTGAGAAGAAAAAGTGATATATACAAACTAATTCTAAGCCAAAACATGATAAGGATTCATACAGTGTTATCACTTAATAAAGACTGTAAAATTATTCTTGTTCATTAAAAAAAGTGCTGTTTTAGGGTTTGAAATGTAATTAAGTCTGACTGGATTCCTCTGCGTGCCTTTTGTACTTTTCAAACATCATAATTAATGCTTTATTATATTAATTATTAAGTCTTCTTCTTATTATTAATTATTAATTATGAGGCTGAGAAGGAAATCCTAATTCTAGCCTCTGGGGAACTGGTATGTCTTTATTAAAATCAGCTCATTCACACTAGTTTTATTAATTAATTACTTGATCCAACCCAAGTGCCTCCTAAAAGTAGCACATAAGCCCCATAAATGTCCTTTGGGTGCTGACAGCTCTAATATGGCTTCTTCTGGTTCCTATAATTTCTGTCATTTGTTAAAACATGCACTTCCATCAGAAAATAGTCACAAAGAGAAATGTAAAAAATTTAACATAAGATTATAGACTGAGTCCTCAGTGAGAAAAAAATAAGGTTATGTTAGCATAACATAATTTTGTTATAATTTTGCATATAATTTTGTTGAAAAACAATTTTATCTCTTTTGATTCTTATCTAGCTCTAGTTTCAGCTGATGTTGCTGCCACAAGAATCCTAGTTTTTAAATGTGTATTTCATAATAAAAGTATTGTGTGTCATTTGTAGGTGGAAAATCCTGCCGAAATGCTGTCCAAAGGAAAGTAGAATTCATCCTAATAAACATGAAAATTCTCAAGCGGCTGGAGTCACCAGCATCCAGTAAGTTGTGTTTAAGACTTACAGCATTACCTATGAATCTATGAACTCATGTTAATATATGTTTTGCTCCTCTTGAAGCCAGGCAGACTCAGCAAAATCAAATTAAGCAAAACCATAGAGAGCTGGATAGTCAAGAACTAATAATAAAAGTCCATCAGTGAGGTGGTTAAAGTAAGTTTGTGCATATATGTGTGCATTGAATTTTACAAGCTAGATGACAGCCAAAATTTATGTAAATTTATGATTGAACATTAAATAAATGTTTACTATTCAAAACAGAAAGATATGAAAAGAGTTAAGTAAGTAAACTCATACCCAAGCTATGCTGAGGCCCAGCAAAACACAGAGGATCCTCAAAGGTATCATCTTCAGGGGAAGAGCAAGAATTCTGACTGAAAGGATGCTCTTCACCAGTCTTTTGGTGCAATTTAAACCTGAATGTAAAGCTGGGATTAATCATTATGCTCCCCTCTGTTTGTAGAAAAAACATGCCAGTTACCCCCCTCCCCCTTCAGTGATTACTTAAGGACTCTTGCACAAGTTTCCACTGTTATTTGCTCCAGATAAGTTTGTACAACACCAACATGCCGGCAACTCCATGAGTTCCAGGAAAAAAAATCTGTCTACAGTTGTTTCTCGTCACTGGATGTTCAACTAAGATGTATGCAGGACCTAGTGGGATCCAGCAATCCTCATTTTCTGGAAGTCACACAATCTGTGTCATGGGCATTTAGCTGCATAATCAAAGAGGTGACATCTGAAAAAGGAAGTAATAGCTTTGCCCCTTCTGTGTTCCGCTGCTGTGAAATCCACTGGATGTTCCAAAGCAAGTACTACTCTAAGAAAGGTTAATACAGTTTATCTGTGACCGTGTGGTCATCAACCAAAATTAATTCCTGAGGAGTGCAGAGACCAACTTACATCAGTTTATGGTCTTGGTGGTATTTGTGGAATATATGATGTGTTTAACATTATGCTGTTTCTTACACCAGCAGTGTATTATAATCTTTATCAAGAAGGATTTGTTCAAAATATATATTTATGAAGAGCACAATAGAGTGGTACTTTAAAATGTCTCAGAACAGATCTTAAGGATAATTAAATCTTCCTAAGGAGCCATGTCTCTCTAATAGGTTATATAATGGGTACAGTCGGTGTGTGGCAACTTTCAATAATGTCTTGCTTCTGTGATCTCTATAACAAGCCTTACTAATACTGGGGAGGGTCATACATGGCTGTCAGACACTTGAGAGATGCTGCCCATCTCAAAAGTTGCACTGCAGTGAGCAGGAATGAGCAAAAAAACCTTTGCTAGAGTAAATGTGGATGTATTCAGTTGAAAAAACAAAACTCTCTTGGCCTTTTAAAACTTCATGACACCCACAAAACTCTTCATTGCCGATAGGGTACAACATCTTATCACATTCTGCTTTACAGGAACACATTTTAGCCTAACTCTGACATTGTAAAACATACTAAATTCAAAATAGCTGATTTTAGCTTTGGATACATTCCATCAGCCTCACAGGTTTTGCCTTAGCCTCCTTTCCTCTGCTTTTCCTCTTGTTTTCTGCCTTCAGGAGGCTTGAACCCTCTGCATGTGAAACTCCCTGTAGCTGAAGTGGACCCCTTGCTTCCTCCCATTTCTGGCCTTGCACTTCATGCTTTTCTTGTCTAGGAAAATCCTCTTAAACCTAACCTATACCAATATCACTGAAAACAACCCATATCCCGAGCAGAAGAACTCAGTAAGATGGTGCTACATTGATTAACACCTACACCACCAGGATGTAGTTTTGCATGACAAAGCATTTCACTTACATTTAACTCTTTGTAGAGTCTTCTGTTGAATCGCATGCAACAAAAACTCTTCTGAATTCAGCAACAAGAAAGCCAAACTAACTTCAACAAAAAATGTCGAAATGGGTCTCATATTACCTTTTGCTCAGTTTGAAGGTCATCCGGCCATGGCCATACTGTTGGTTGATAAATGCACATAAAGTAGCTCCTGAACTCAAAGCAGATAATCAACATACTAACACACCAAAATTCTCAGCTGCTAACTTCACCAGGGGCAAGATTGGTGATGCTTCCCCATCAAGTCCTATACAGTTTTGTTCTCTCTGTTGCAGCAGTTCTGTGAAAGAACTATAAAAAACTCAGAGGACAGTTAAATGCTCAAAGTGGGAAAGGAACACAAAAAGAGGAAGTCTTACAGGATTAGGATTAATTATTTTACAGAACAGAGTAAAATGGGCTTCATAAAAAATACACTGAGGTCCATGGAGAATCTCCCTGTTAAACTCCAAAAAGCTCCATTTTAGCCTCTATGATAGATAAAAAAGTCTGGTCAAAGGTTACAGTCTTGGAACCTTCCTGCTCAGGAACACAAGAACTGCAGATGCAACCTCCATGGTTTCTCCTTGTGCATACATTCATGGACTGTGCTTTACTGCAGGATCACAATATGATGTTTTTTCCACTGAACCCCTTCCTCCTCACACTGAGCATGGATGGTGCTCCACAGTCAAGCAGCTGCCCAGAGCTGTACACTCTTTTCATCGAATGAGGATGCTCTTGCAGACTGCTTAAAGCTTCAAAAATTTTCCTGTAGTGCTTTACAAACACTGATTCCCTGGCCATGAGTTTCCCCTTTTCACAGCTGCAGAAACCAAGTGAGGAGATTAGGTCAAAAAGTAGTTATTAATTTTTGGGATCCATTTTGATCCCAAAGTCTGAGTCTTCAGAGCACACCATGTGTGCAGATCCCATTGATGGCAGCTGCATCTCTGTGCTTGTACAGGGGGGCTCTGTGGCTCAGGGGGAATAGTCAGCAGATAGCTCTGAGACCCCTGAGTGTCTTGCCTCTGGTCCCAAAGGAACAGGGTGATCAGGGCAGAAATAGCACCTAATTCTGCAGGATATCCACTGTAAGTAAAAGACCACTGTATCCCGCCTGGTCTTGCTCGCTCTATGCATTACAACCTATGGAACAACTAAAGCATTCCTCATAATTCAGATGTGATGTGACATGTCACTTTGGTTCTAACTTTTCCCAGTTTGTAGGAGCTTGATTTTGTGATCATCAATAATACATGAACATTATTTTTGTAATTTAATAGGCCTTGAAAATCACGAGTAGTAAGAGCATGCAAAGCAAAAGAGTTTCTGGCCTTTTCAACCATGCTGACAATTTCCTAGGTGGTGTCCCTGGCACCAGCCACCAGTGTGATCAGGGACATGGCAAGTACCATGTTCCAGGCCTCCTCTGACCCTGATGGAGGGCACAGCTCTCTGGTGACACTGAAACACAGTAAACTCAACGCTGGTCCAAGGAAAACTAGTTCACCAAGGCTAGAGGGACAGGAAAAAGCTGATAACTGATCATAAACATTAGGTAAGCTAAGAGGGGTTTCCTGCTTGCTGCGAAGGGAACTGCTGGGGGAGGCTGGGGTGAAGGAGGAGTTTCTCAAGCCTTCCAGTTGAGGGCTGAGTCTGTGCCTAACCTTCAGCCTGTACCTTTTGTTGCAATCATCCAGTCGCTTCTCCCAGTGTTTGTTTGAAAGGCTAGAGGCCAAGAGCTAGTAAACTTTGGATTTAACTTTAATTCATGATCAAAGGACAGAAGTGCAGTTCACTACTTCATCTGCCCTGCTCTTGGCTGAATGCCACAGCAATAGTCAGGGAGTCTGGGATTTACCTCAGGCTTGTGTGCCCTGTATGTGAGTTCCACCTTGTTTGCCCAGCTCTGCCTTTGTCTCCTGCCTTACCACCAGTCCCCACCACCAGTTTCCAAGTGGTGCTTTCTGCTTCTCTCACCTGCTCATTCATGTCTCTCCTGTGGATGCTTTGTCTTAGCCTCCATTCTCCTTCAGACTCAGCTCTCATCTTCACTTTCTCTTCATATGCTCCTCAGGCTTCCTAACTCTTTTGAAGTCATTACTAGTCAGTCCCAGCACCTGGTCCCACACTTTCCCCGTGCAGTATTCTAGGACTGAGGAATCCAGAAAGTCCTCCAGTCTACGCACTTTGACTCTTTTTTCCTTTATCCCTTCCCTATCCACTTGTTTTTTTGGAGTGATATTGCTCTGTTTTGTGCTACAGTGATCTTTGGAAGAGTCATTGCAAGCACAAGGTGTGCAAGACAGGCCACCAAGTCCTATAATAAATAAGTTGAGAGGGACAGAGTTTTCTAAATACAGGCAGCTTTTACTTTAGGCTATGGTCTGAGGGTCATGTACAATAAAGACTAATTTAGAGAAGAGAAAGACAAGATCTCAGTATACAAAATAGGGGCATTAAGTTCAATTGCAATGTATTTGCTTGCAAAAATAGTACAGAGAGTATTAATCTCCTTTTAAGAGTTAGAAGAAATAGAAGGTCTTTTCAGGCCTGTTTCTGATAGACAGAGGTTTGGACACAGTAGAAAGGAGCTTCCAAAGGCATGACTCTTGCGAGATTCTTTCAGGGCCCAGAGAATATAACTGTGGGCTTGGATCGTGCCTGACTCACTGATGAACTCTGGCACAGGACTTGTTTGAAAGATCAGGCTTTTTGGATTCACTAACTCTGACTCTCCTGACCACTGGAGCAAATGCTCCTCTCCAGAGGTTAAAATGATTTGTGAAAACTTAAGACACCAATCAACAAAACAGCGGGAAGAATAAGCCAATCTTAATTATGGTGAGCAATCCATAAAATGCCAGCTCACACCAATGGAGTGTGTGCAGTTACAGCAGGTTGTCGTGAACTAAATCATTAGAGCCAAAAGCTAAACCAGGAGAGGCAAAGCACAGTTCAGACCTAACTGTGAGGACACAGAAGTCCAAATGACAGAGGGGAAAGGAATATTTTTAAAATATATGTTGCAAATATGTAAGTAATATCAACCTTAAAGTCATGTCCTAGGTGGTATAAATTGAAAACAGGAAGTGGGAGAGACTCGGCCAATGCCCCTCAAGTGGCTGTTTGCAGAATCAGGGTCAGACTTGCCTTGCCAACCTTTCCCTTGCATCCTTCTCTCCAGCCTCTCTACACACACTGCTTCAGCTATGAGGAGCCATGGGAAAGGCCTTACACCACAAAACATTCAGGAAAAGTGCTTTGCTTGGTGAGGAATTGGGTGTAAAGGCTGGTGGTGAGCTGTGCAGCATGGCTGGTTGCATGGGTGCAACAGAGTTGGGTGAATACACTGGTTCAGTGGCGTGGAGGGGTCATCCCTCATCTCAAACAGTTGTTAGCCCCACCTGACCCTACACTTATGATGGCTTCTCACCTAATCCTGAGAAATGAACCTTCCTCTTAGAAGAGTAAAACTTCAATTAATTGAAAACCTCAGTAAAAATCAGAGGGAGTCAGCACTTTATCATGCTGTGGAGACTCAGATCCAGGGAAGAGGCTCAGCAGCAGCATCACTAGAGACCTGGGCAACAAAACTGGAAGACTGTTGAGGCAACATAAACTGACTTTAAGATCTGTCTTATTTAGTGTAATATCCTCCTGTCTTTAAAATAAAGTATTTGAATGTGCTATTCAGAAATACCAGACAAATGTCTGTTCTTTCACAAGTAGCTAAACATAAAGACCAGGATACACTTCCTGTTTCACTTCTTAATATATCAACTTGAGAATAGAGATAATTTCTACCTCTGAATGTATTTTCTGTTGAGTAATTTGTCTATAAGCCTAATGTGATTTGCTAATGCACTGCTCAAATGTACCCATCAGATTTTGAGCAAGTACATTCAAACAGCACCACAAACTCTTTGCAGGTCTTGATCTGTGCTGTGAATTTGCTTATGTGCATCACATAGAAGATTATTACCAGACCCAGAAAAAGAAAATGCAAGTAAAACACAATGAATTTCTGCTGTGAAATTTAAGTTGGAAAATGACACTAGATACATTAGATCAATTTTTAAATATTTATGAAAAAAGAGGGGTATTCAGGAACAATGGCTGTACAGTGTGCTACAATGTGTCATATAGCAAATTAAACCTGAGTAAAATTTAAGCAACTTGTTAGTATGTCTGCTTTGGAGTAAAACACTGTTCTTGGTCATTGATAGTATACTTCCTAACACGTCTTGATTGAACACTACTTTGTGGTAGATTCAGTTAAGTAGTCTTCAGCAGTAAAATAGGCTGCTTTGAAGTTGCTATGTACTTTGATCTATGTCACAAATCAATTTTATTAGAAAACTTGTAAACTTTTGGAAAAAAGCCACATTTTATGGAGAAATAGCTCCAACTCGTGTCTCTAAACAAAGAGCAGAAGCTACTGGTGTGCAATTCAGAAATGACTGAATCAAATAGGTTTGATCAGAGTAACCTTCCAACCATCAAAAGTTTTCTTAGTTTTGTTTGGCCAACTGTAGAGAACAGATAACAAGTTCAGATTTTTTTGTAATAATCAAAAATTTATTGAGAATGTGTACAGAAAAAAATAACCATCTGCAGAGGTAAGCACTTCTCAGGAAAGAGGTTTGGGCATCTTACAGTCAATGGTGTTTTATAGTCAAAACTGAACTCTATATTGTTAGGTAGGTTCGGTGTCCAAGAGAGAAAAGATTTGCTTTCCCTGTTCAGACTGGCCTTTGTGAAATTGTCCTTTACACGTCTCCAACCTACAACAGAAAAAAGAGTATTTTAATGTTCTTCTAAACAAAGACATACATAAGGCTATGATGACGTGTTGATAGTGTTCATACATAGTTATACTAGTTGAAAATTAAAAATGTAGCATTTAAAACACATATGGGAAAGGGATTATTTCTGATCATGAGACTACCCATTTATTTATCTGTTAAAAGAAACAGTAATGTAAAAGGTATACTAAAATTGAAGTACAAATATTTCTGTGACAAAGTGGTAAATAAAGCCAACTTCTGTAGGTGGGCTTAACACTTCAGCTGTCCACGCTCAGTGTTTGAAATGACCACTATGTTCTGCTATTATTTTAAATATCTCCTAGGCCCTGTGGTCGAACCTGTTTGGTGCCCAGATTGTGCTGCTGTCCATCTACTGACAGTCTGTTGAATGGGATGATTTTCATTGCAGATTTCTTCATGGAGTACCACCGGTCACGCCAGGTTGCCCAGATAATGCCGTTGTCATATCCAGATGGACCAGCATCTTCTGATGTGTACACACCACCTAAAAAATATCAGTTGCAGTAAATCAGTTAGTTGTTTTCTAAAATAGTTATTGTGCCCATACATGTCTCTGGTACTAACACTTCCATGGCACCCCTGGGCATGCTAACAGGCCCTGTTCACTGCCTTTCTTCTCCTAGTTTTCTTCCCCTCAGGATTGACTCTCCCACTTTGGGATGGAGAGCAGCCATAAGTTCCTACTGCTGGCATTAAGCTATTGCCAGCTTTGGAAAATCCAGATGGTAAAACATACTCAATGAAAGTGACTCATTTTTCTTTGCCACTAAAATATGGTGTCCTGGATTGTAAGTATTTAGAAGACACTTTACCTGTATAATATTTGCCATTGAGGTGGCCAGCATGACACCTATTCATCCACCATCCAGATCCATCTTGCTCAGCACAGTTGCCAGCATAGTTATCGTTGTCATTATCATAGGTGCTGAACCGCATGCCATTATGATAGGTAAAGGATTTATCACTCGGGTCATCTCCAAAATCATAACCATCAAAAGCATCCCCAGCTTCACCACCGAGAAAGTAGGCGTAGGTCAGTCGATACTTGTCTTCTTCACTTCCCACTTTGAATACAGCATAGTCAGCAGTGCTGTAAACAAAGGAGAATGGTAAGTATGAGTATGCTGCATTCTGAGTCATGCACAAACGGAAAATGCATAGGTGTTAGAACTGCAGAAAAGGCATTTATTACATCCTATCTTTTTAAAAGGAGCTGGTATTATGTGATTGTGGGTCTCAGTTCAATGACATACCTCCAACCAACTTTTGTGCTCCAGTATCAGACATGTTTTCTGACTATTAGTCTTCACTGATGTATGAAATATCTACATTATAAAAACACACACTCACACACACACACACACACACACATCTATATCTCCCAGGTTTGTAATGCTGAGGTCACAAGAAAAATCTTGGTGGAAGGAGTGGATGTCTCCAGAAATAGCAAAGAAAATAAGTCCTCCTGGAGAAAAGAATATATAGAATAGAAAATAAAAGAATAGAACAGAATAGCTCATTTGGAAGGGACTTATAACAATCATGTAGCCCATAAGACACATAAGACTTGAAGAAACTTGAAGATACCTATTCCTTCTGCCTAATAAATGAGTGCTGACAGCATGTGGCGTTCAGACATGCATGTGTGCCTGGCAACAAGTCCCACAGTGACTGCTGTCACAGCTCTAAGTTCAGGAGCCAAAGCAATGCCCTGTGCATGTTAACAGGTCTAAGGGCTCGTAATTTTTTCAGAGCTGTACAAATTGATGCAGCAGCGGGAGCAGTAGGTTTTAAGCCGTCATTTTCAGAAGCATCATGAGCAAATACCCTTTTTTGCCACTCCAGTCCTCCAGCTCTATTCGCAAGGTGTAAGGTAGAGTAGACTGTGTAGTTATTAAATGTATCTTCTCATTGCCCAGCCAGAACTCAGTGGTGTCATCTGGAGACAGGTGTCCAAATCCTTCCTTGTACTGAACCCAATTTTTACTGAAGTCCTCACTCCCATCCAGTCTCTGGGGGGAAAAAACACCAAAACCAGAAATAAAAACCTCAGTCAAAAAGATATATATCTTATGTAGGTAAACAAAACTGTGCTGATGCAATAATCTCGCTAATAGTAATAACACGTAATAGACATACCCTCTGCAATACTGTCCAGCCGTTGCCATATGAGTCAATCTCACAGTAGACTAGGAACGACTGCTTGGCTCTTTGAGGCTTGATAAAGTAAAGACCACTTTTCCTGGCACCTTTATTTGCAATGTCTTGACAATCTGAAGTAAAGATATTCAAAGGATCATGATTAATCTAGCTACAATTCTGTCCTCACATATATTTTATAGTCTAACTTTTTTAGCACAAGAAATACGATTAATCTAAATGCCATTGCTGCAAAGTTAGCTATTTAGTCCACATACTTTAATGTCACTACCATAAAAAATCCTTCTGAGCTCCCTCATCTTGCATAAGATGAGGCCTTTAGTCTGACATAGAGTTTAAGCAACTAAAGAAGAACTGTGTCCCACCTGAATGCCTTGTTTGCAGAGCCAACAAGGCATTTGTCTACTTGCCACTGACATATGTCCAAGCACCAGATTTATAAATTGCAATTTTGTATATTTTTGCAGAGATCCACAGCCCATAAAACTACAAATAACTCATTGATGTGATGCCAACCGGCGACACTTGTAACTGAATTAACCCTCCACCACATACGAAGCATTTTGCGTACCTCTTCCAGTCGTCTCCTGTATTTCAGCCCTGTCTTGGCATGGCTTCTGACACTGTAACTCGAGCTGGGTAATCTTCTCTTTCAGCTGTGCAATCCTGTTGCTGTTCAGTATATGTGTATCTGTCAATTGTCTGGACAGAAAGACATAAAAATGGGCTGTTGACTCCACTGTTTCTGAACATGTAATGCACATTCCCCTGTACACATCCTTCATCTGTCTACCATGCTGCTACATGCACCCCTGCGAAAGGGGATGCCTCTGATAGCACTGATATTTAAAGTTAAGGAAACTAGACAAAATTGGAAAGCACGTACTTAACCTTACGCAAAACTTAACCATACGCAAAACTTGACTCTAATCAGCAAAACTCTAATTAGTTATTAGTGTATGAATATAACTCTATAGAAAGTTTTACTTTGCTCTCCTAAAGTAAATGATAAACTATCCCTCTTTAATTATGGATATATTTGTAAAACACAAGTTCTGTAAATAAACTGCTGTAACTGTCAGAATGCATAAATAATCTTTGACATAATGTTATAGAAGTGGAGATTTTTTACATGAGGGCCAAAAAACGTATCCTTAAGATTTAGAAACATTAATGATGTTTTCAATTTTATTTTCAGTGTCAATTTAGAACAGACTACTAATGAGTTTAAAGTTACTTATGATTTATAATAATGTAACTGAGCTGTAATTTTCATGGATATATGCAGCAAAATTGATTCAAGTGAACAACTGTACAAACAGTCAACATACTCTGCATTACAGCAAAAACTCACAACCTCCAAAGGTCATGAAAAAAAATTTAGGGGTAGCTGCTACAGCAAAAGGAAGATAAATAGAAATATTGCCAGGCTTCATAGCATTCTTATCTTGCACTTCTTGCACAATTAACACCTAATGCAGATGAGTAGAGAATTCAGTATCAGATCCTCATGATCCTCCTGTGCCTTGCTATGCAGCTACTAATGACAGCGTGAGCAAAATTGTCCATGTCAGCACAAAAAAACTTTCCAAGAGAGCCTTGGTGGCACTTGATAAAAGAACAGAAATAAAAACAATTTGTACTGTCAATAAAATTAAAGGTGGAAGATGCTTACTGTATAGTATTTTCATGAGACAATATAGTGTTTTCATATCTGATAATTTCTTCAATTATTTTCCTGGACTTTTGAGTAAGAGTATCAATTGAATCTGTGAAACAGACAAAGGTATAAAATAATTGCAATTACGTAATTTAAAAATGCAAACCCCATAAATTATATTTTTCAGTTGTACAGTTATTTCTATATTCTCACTTGGTAATGTCTGCTTCTCTGAAGGATAGAGGCCTTGGATGTGTTGAATCAGATGTTCTGTTGTCACTGTGGAGTTAGAAATCTGCTGCAAAATTCTCTCCATTTCCTGAAGGTCATTATCCACACTGAGATGGTATTTATTAAAGAAATCTGCAATGCCACAGGTTGTTGGGCAGAAGCTACCCTAAAGAGGAAAGAATAATAGTTGGCGATCTTTTGGGACCAAAGAAAGGAGAGCAGAACATTTGGGCAGAGGAACTTTCAGGCACTGCTGACACCAATGATAGTGGATAAAAAAGGACAGGCATTTGCCACTCTGCTGTATTTGTATTTACAGAGGCAGTTTACTTTCACACTATGTGAAAGAAAACAGTGTATGCTATTACTCGTAGCATCTTCTGGATGTGTGCTTTCACCCATGGTGCAGCCTCCCGCACATTTTTACCAAGCATACATTGCTATTAATAAATAACAGGTTTAAGCACAGCGCACTTAATAAGTATTGAAAATAACAATGAGTTTCAAGTGGTAATGGCTGTTAACAATCAGCATAGGAAAGCTTTAATTACACTCTTAAGATAAAAGAAAATTGTTCAGGTACTTACAAATCGATCATCCAATATGCAGCAGTTTTCTCTGGTAGGAATGTACTGAAGAGAAGAAAGAAGACCACTTTCAGTGGATTTTCTCTGACAGTGCTTTCTGTGCTAAAAACATATTTTTTAACACTGTCTCTTCACTTACCGCCATGCTGGTTGAGAAGAGCAGGGATAGGAGAGACCCCAGGGGACTCCAGCTGTGTAACCTCAGCCCCATCATGTCTGTCCCACCAGGTGCTGACAGCTGCTCGCTGTGGTCAGCAGCTGAAAATGTCCAACCCAGCACAGGGTGGCAGCAGTTTAAGGCGGCAGGCTGAAGCTGGGGGCGGGCACTGGGAGGTGGTGGGAAGAGGTGGAGTAGGGATCCGAGGTGGATTCCCAGAATTTGCACACCTCTCTTACTCCTCCCATTTTCAGAACCTGTTTCCCACTTCGCTGCTTGATCTCTGCTCTAGCCAAGCCTCAGGGGAGGCGGGAAAGTGGGACAAGGCATCGAGATGCTACATCTAGTAACATTAGAGTAAGGAAATAGCTTCATGATGGGCTGGCAGAAGTTTCACTCAAATAGTTCAAGGAAAAGCCACTGTAACCCTTTGGATTATGTGCAGCAACTATAGTCTAACAGTAAACACTGTTTTGTGGTTACATAGAACTTTTCTGCCACAGATTTCAATGTGCTTTGCAAATAGACTCAACATAATTTTCCCTATTCTGTGGATGACAAAACTGAGGCAGAGAAAAGTATGAAGTCGCTGGACAGTGGCATATCTGCAAAGCAGCCTGTGGTATTTGTCACAGACAATGAAAGCACGAATGTTCCCTACCCTTCAAAACACAACGAGTCCATTTCAATGACTTTGGTCAACGCTTCCTTATTGGGGAACTTACGGAATCTGCCTTATTCAATATTGCTCGAAGACTGGTGACAGGCCTCCTTTTCTGCTACGGGCTTTGTCCCAGGCAAATTATTTCGGTTTGTGCCTCTGCATGCTATCTCTATTAACAGCAATCATACCTTTCCTCATGTCCTGCTCCTAGTTTCCAGGCTATGGCTTCTCCAGAGAAAGCTGGATTTTATGCCTGTACAGCATCATGTGTGATGAGACAATGTTGAATGAGGCTTTTGACCTCATTACATGTTTGATCAAATGATGAAAAGGGTGGTGGGACTGGGGCTCACTGTTAGATCTGCTGTTACTGGGGTCACCTTTGTGATTTCAGGCAAATGATTTCACCTCTGTACAGCAGGATCAATATTTCAACTTTGCTTAATATATACTTAAAAACACCAAAAAAAAGCATTCCATAGAAAACAGATTATTACAAAATTACATCTAATTATGCCCTGAAAAATGGAGCATTCCTGACCTGTATATCATCTTTTTATCTGGTCACATTGTGTCAAATAGAAGGTTCCCATCATGTTCAAAGATACTGCCAGAAGAAAATATGAGTATTTATGATGCTAAAACTCCAATTGAAGCACTGGTCATGGGAAAGCCAGTTCTCCAGTAACTGTGCTGATAACCAGTGAGTTAGCTGCCAGGCTGCAAGAAGTATTTTTCAGGAGATGACCGATGCTATAAGTTTGTTCTTCCAAATCTGCTATTACCCTCCAGAGTCATGTGAAGAGACTGTGCTTCTGTTGTCCATGCTGATACAGAGAGGACATGATTCCACCTTCTACGTGGTTAGTTCTGTTTCCCAAAGAGTGATAATAAATTGAAACTGTGTAAAAGTCTACCTGCTTTTGTGTTTTTTATTGTTTCTTTGGTGGTGTTAACATCGACTCAGGAAACTACCAATGAACCTCCTTGCCACTGCTGCTCATACACTGAGCTTGCTTTGCTTCTTCTGTCCAGATCATGACACATGGGTCCAAAGAGTCCTGGAAGTACAATTTCAGAGGCTGTGCACCAGCAGTATGCCCTTAGATATGACCATATAGAATGAGTCAATGGCTGGTATGAACTTTGTAAGATAACTGGCCCAGCTTTAACCACAGACGTGCACTGAAGAGTGCAGATGGCCACGTGCTGTCTGTGATGCAACAGGTGAAACACATAACACAATTCAGGTATCCCTCATCCTTTAACAGACTAGAGAACACCCCTTTCCCTTTTGTCACTAATAATAGTACATGTAGGCTTGAAATTCTGTCAGAAGAATATCTGGTTACAGAAAATGAAAAAATTTGTCTTGTGTTTCTGGGCAAGAACTTCAAGAGTCAGAAAAGATGACAACAGTCAATTCTGGCAGTAATAGCCTAGTTAACCTTAAGATAAAAAGCCTGAGCTTTTAGAATTAAACCATGAGAATGGTTGTAATGAAATAATATCAATGTATAAATAGAATTTCACTGTTGAAGATAATTGGCTAATTGTTCAGACAAAACAAAAGGATCATTATCCCTGAAAATGGGTGAGGAATAGAAGACCCAAATTTTCAGTCTTGTGCTTGTGTTTCACAAAATTATCGCTGTATATATTCATATTCATGAAGGAATCAATTTTCAACATTGCCCTAATGATTACCAAATATCTGCACATTGCATCTGTAAGTGTTACTTAGCTGTATTTATGGTTGCAAACACTGGTACTACTTAGCAGAAGATGTAAATATTTGAACCTCGGGAAATTTGTGCTTGCTTTACTGATTACATGGTCATGATTTAGCCTTGAATAATTAATCCTTTCACATTGCTTCCTTTTCTTTTCTTCTCTGGTTTCAGCACTCATTATTTAGAAATATCTTAGTCTGCTTTCCATTAAGCTGGAAACAACGTGTTTTCTTAGAGGAATGACTATGTAGTATTTTTCCTCCCTTACATGCCATTTTGTCTTGGTGTGTTCTGGCTGCAAAACAGCTGACCCATTTACCAAACAAATGTGCTAGAGACCTAGTTGTACCCTGAGACGTGCCCAACATAATTTAACCACGTTGATTTTCTGGTCAGTGTTCTCTTTCCAGTAAGTCTATTTTCTGCTTTGTTAGCACATGAGGAACAATTCGTGTAGGACAGGTGGAAGGAAGAGTTCTCAAACTCAGTTTACTTTTTTCTTGCAATGTATTTTTGAGAAGATAGTAAAGTTAAATCATTATTTGTTTAAAAGAGCTTTTTTTCAACTCAATATTGATTAGTATTTTTGTCAAAAAGCCACCGGGACTCTATCCAAAACCTTCCCATTATTCATAGAAAACCTTTCCTCAGAAAAACAAATCAAAAGAAATATGCTCGTGTCTGTAAATTAGTTTCTGAACATCATTATATCCTTATGGCTGTCTTGGAAAAACAACTGTTTTTTAAACTCATACCTACATGTCTTAAGAATCTAATCTGAAAAATCAGTCTACAATATTTCAGAAATGCTGTAGTGATACATTTTAACATTTTTCAATGGGGTTTTATTACCATTTAACTTAAAGTGTTCAGTGGACTTCACTCAAACTTGCATTTTTTTTAGATGCTCCCAAAGCTAATTTTCCCATTTAAAAATAAATACAAAAAATAAATATAGAAAAATACCAAATATTAACTATTGAAAAAAAAAAACCCTACTCTGCTTTGCAATCCATCATCAATATGCATCACCCTGCTTGTACTACCATTAACTTAAACACATTAGTGGGCAAAATCCCCTTTGCTAGGTCAATTGACTGAGTGACAATTAGGATGAGAAATAGAGGCAGCTAACAAGCTGTTTAGTATTGAAGTCATGCTGATGGCATGCTAAAAAGCCAACAGTACAAAAGTGAAAATGAAAAAAAAAAAAAAAGGTTTTGTAGCTGATCTTTCTCTTTCAATACTCAGAACTTGGGCAAAAGGTAAATCACAACATTTTGGCCAATGGGATAGTCCACTCTGGGCAACACACTTCTTCCCCACCCTTCCTGAACTGAGTCAACAAAAATCAGTTGCTCTTCATGGGAGAGACTTTAATTTCTTTTCACCTGTGACACCAGTACAGGTACTCACCATGCTACAGGTCAAATACTGGCTGGAAATAGTTATTTCTTTTTAAACTGAGAGAGGAAAAGTAAGAAATATATGTATTTCACGTCAATCACAGCTTTCCATTTTGAAAGAATTTATGGGATATTTTGCCGCATGCACACTGTGAATACAGAAGAGGTACTTTCACTCATTTTAGAGTGTATTCTTTAATAATTATGGGATAATGCATTTTCTGAAATCAAAACATGGAGGTTATATTGATTTGTGACTGCTAAAAGTGAGCACTTTTGTAGATAATATAATAACCTAAAAGATTTTTTGATTTCTGCAAGGAATAATCAAGAATTATTGCTTTAATACATAGTTCTTGTTTTGTTTTCATATATTATTGTAGACAAATTTAAAAAAATATTTAACAATTAAAAAGGCCAAGAATGAAGGCAATTCATAGTACTCCTGAAAATACCTCATATCCATAAGCCAGACGTTTCATGCTTTGAATGAGTTATCTTATTTTTGAAAAATCCTATAGTGTTTCTGTTTAGCATTTACTTAATTTCATACATTAAAGATTTTATTTAAACTTTACTCAAAACTTAAAGTATTAGGAGAGGACATGTATCTAAAAAACCCGGGAATGTGATATAAACGAATGCGGTCAATATAGTTCAGAGGATAACTCATTTCGTTGTTTTGTCAACAAGGCAGGTTGTTGACAGGTTTTTCTGAGTCCCAGAGCATAGGATGTTATACCTCAAAGTGATAAAAATCTACTAAATTACTATGAAACCGCAATCCGTGTTTTGGATTTGGTGAAATATCATTACTGAGCTTTGAGTTGTTTGTGCCTTTAAATAGGGGTATGACATGCAACATGGCAAATTCTCTCCTTTTACTGATTTACAGAGATAATTTTCAACTGTTGATTCACTTAGGAAAGGCTGGTATTCAGACTGTCTGCAGAGGAGAGATTGCACTGTATACTTTACCTTGAGGGCAAGAACAGTGAACTCCATTTGTTAAACAAAGAGATGCACTAATTTGTGGGAATGAGATAAGTCGTAAATTCAAATATTTGCTGAATATTTTGTAATTAGTTGTGAGGACAGAGCCTCAATAAACTAAAGCCTACTTCAATAAACTAAAATATATGCCGAAACTATTGTTTGAACAGGAGCTTATTTACAATGACATTAAAGGAAACACAGCAAAAATGTAATATGTTTCACAATAAACCCCTGGCCTGTGAAATACTTTGCTTGTACTTTTTTAAGCAATCAGGAGGAAGCCTGACTGTCAGAAAAATCCTAGAAATATAATGGAAAGTGTATTTGCTTTGGAAAA